GGAAATGCTCGAAGACTAGATCTCTCCATTCAATAACAGTTCAAAATTCAGCTGAAATATAATAATCAAAGGCCTTCTGGTACTGAAAATACTAAAATTGCAGTCAGGGATGGACATCAGAATTAAAATTTGTGCTTGACATTGACTCTTGTTAACATTAAAAACAACGTTAATAAAACTTCAAAGACGTTTCGAGCAAACAACTTCGGCCTTCATCGGCTTTTTTAAAAAGCCAACTGAGTGACGGCTTTCTAACGGCCTTCTGGTACAGTTCCGCTATGCTTTATCATATCGCTGAACACGCGTTACAGAGGTTAAATGATTTCCCTAGTGAGTCGATCCCTTGTCACTTTGTTATCGGGGTTTTAATTAAGTTAAAAATTGCATATGTACGTAAGCTCAAGCACTCCTTAAACTATACAGTCGACCGCGTGAAGTGCTTTCTTTTCTCCCACTGGGCGTAGAAAATGTATGTTCTATTCCCGGCTTTTAAAATCAGTAATGCCTACCAAAATGTATCTCTACCACTTCACAGGAGACTGTTGTCTGCAACTGCGACTACTATTTTTATATTTTCCCAGAAAACTGTCCATAAATGAGCATTTTTAGTTCAAAGACTGCTCTGTCTCAACGTGTCTGTTATTCTTTCGGTCGCTATAATGCTAAGTTCATTCCGGATCAAGTTTTTTCGTTTACTAATTTAACTAGTTTTGGCTCTTCTTGACTAATTGTTGGATGTTGTTTAACGGGTAAAATAAAATCACCCTAGCAGGAATTATATCACTAAATTGTATTAAAATGCGTTAGTATAAAAACAACATGAAAATAAGCTGCTTAAAGAGGCGAACGCTCATGGCACGCTTCCTTACTGTTACAAAATTTAAAGAGCTTCTACAAAGAAAGAAAAACAGCCTAACTTAGAGCATGAATTGAATTATTCATGAACTGACAAGCTATAAAACTGCCTAGAAACAAGGAAACAGAAAACTGTTCTGTTATACCCCCCTCAAACACTTCCCCCTAACCTCTCTAGCCGCAAAAAAGCACGTGATCATTTTAGTAGTCCGATTGAGTACATAGTGCATTATTAAAGTGCAATAAGCTAAGATAACAACAACTAAACACAGCCAAATCTCATTGCATACCAACCCGTAAGTGGACGCTTCGTGATTTTCTGAGATAGATACAAACACTGAATCTTTAACCTTGTATAAGCTGACAGCTCTCGTCACAGCTCAATTGTTTGGTGGCCTCACAGAAGGCACCACTCACGGAAAGCTGGAATGTATGTATACAAAGTTAAATCCACGCAACTTCTAGCGGAGTTGAAACTAGATTTTACACAGAAAGCTTTCAAGAAATACAAGAACAAAATGCGTTGAGGAAGGCAATAGCAAATTCCGCCATCAGCTGCGAGCCCGATTAAAAGAAACGCCACTATTCAAAATGAAGTAAAACACACATCGAATGAACAATCTGGAAAATGATCAAATTAGCCAAGAAATACATCAATCAATTAAAATTGATCTCCTAATGTAATGACCTGTGTCTTGAAACAATACTTAAGAACAACCGAAGAACTTAAGAAGGTCTAAGAGCAGGAAGACGTAACACAGCAAAATAAATGACCACTCACGAAAATAACTTGCGAAACTTTTCAGATGATTCTATCATCTATAGAAGATAATGATCGAAGAGAACGCTTTCCTACTTTTCAAATCTCCAGTTACTTTACGAGTTTTCCTCTTTGAAACAATAAGCTAAAATTCGACATAACTTCCTTTATAACTGGGTTGAAATTTAACTGGCATGAAATCAATTCAAAATTGAAATGAACTGAAAATTTACTGTGAAGCAGTATAAATTCTAAAAGCGAAAACAGAACGTTAATCGATCAGAATTGAAATGTGTAAAGTTCAAACTGACAATTTGATTAACTTAATTTTGGTTTCTTGT